TGGTAACCCTAAGTTTGGGGTCAGACTTGAGGTTTTGGGGTCAGCTCAAGTTTTGGGCACAGATTTAGTTCGGATTTTGTGTGGGAAAATTTGCATCTGATATGGGGGCAAAATTTGAGTTAATTGCTCCGAACTGCTTCCCTAGTCTCTAGCTTTAACCTGCCTGGCTTGTGCTCCAGTCAGGGCCGGCTCCAGGCACCAGTTTGCCAAGCAGGTGCTTGGGGCGGCCACTCCGGAGAGGGGCGGCAGGTCCAGCTATTCGGCGGCAATTCGACGGACGGTCCCTCACTCCCACTCGGAGTGAAGGACCTCCCGCCGAATTGCCGCCGCCGCCGATCATGATCACGGCTTTTTATTTTTATTTTTTTGGCTGCGTGGGGCGGCCAAAACCCTGGAGCCAGCCCTGGCTCCAGTGTGGAAAAGGGGCTGCATCCTTATTTCCATATCCATCTCCTCACTAGCTAAATCTCTGTAGGTTCTGGCAGCTGCAGTTGGCTGTACTGCAGCTATTTCCAAGGATGATGGAAGGGAGCTGGACTCAAGTCAACAACTCAAAAACCTTGGATTGTACTTTTCCAGACACTTCTTTTGCAAGAAAATAAACAGCAGAACTGTTTAGATGGAAAGAATTCTAAGAGTCTGGTCAGAGCCATTTCATTAATTCCTTTGAGTACAGGAGTCGGCCATGACCTTTGTCCTAGGATCCTGTGGGTTTGTGTCATGGAAATAGTTGGCAATCTTAGGAAATTCGGAGACCAGAGCAACAGTGTCAGCTCTTGTTCTGACACCAGCATAGGCCTTGCTAGAGAATACCATTCAGCTGATGGCTTTCTTCACTACACACTTAGCTCAGGCTCAGCCATGGGTTTCCCCTTAACATGCTCTGCATTCCCACATCTGTATGCCAGCAGTGCTATATGGCAAGATAACCACCACTTGCTGAGCTCTAGGGCAGACCCCCAGGTAGCTGTTTAGTGTGTACTGCTCCCCTGAGGTGACACTGACAATTGCCACAATCAAGACATGATGGTCCTCCAATCCCTTCCATAAGTCCACTTCCAGTCCAGGGGCTATCAATCTACCTTTGCTCAGCTTCCTGCTTGCAGGTCAGTTTCTCTAGGTTCAAACACTGGAGATGTGTAAAACAGCTCAATGGCCACTAACAAACTCCTGCATCCATGTACAGCCACCTGGCCGTATGAAGGTACCTGAATCTTGGTGCAGCTTTGGGCTGAACTGAGCAAACCCCTTTAACTCTATAAAGCATGGAGCAGCCCAGTGAGCTGTGGTGCTGTATACTGCTTGTCATGGCCAGATACGGCACCAGCGCGGTTGTAGGGCATGACAACCTGCAATAGCATGATCATGTTACTGTGCTAACTTACCCAGTGAATGCTTACTCTGTGCTTAGCATGAAGTGAAAACAATTGAAGTGCTTTCTCCACACCTCACACCAGAATAGCTTCCCTCAGCTAACACATTTCATCCCAAGCCCTGTCCCTTTTTTGACACTAGGGTTATGTCTCCACAACGGGCCCCAACAGGGGTAGACAGACACTAGCTTTGCTGAAGCGAACACACTTAAAAGAGCAGTGTGGTTGTGACTACTTGGGCTAGCTGGCAGAGTCCAAACCCACCTGACCCCCGGGTACATACTTGGATGGCTAGCTTGAGCCGACACCCGGGCCTGCATAGCCACGCTGCTGTTTTTAGTATGCTAGCTGTGCTCAAGCTAGCATGTCTGTCTAACCACTCTGGGAACCATACCTCCCAGTTGCAGTGTAGACATACCCTAGCACAGAGTCCACGTGCATGGAACCACTATGGGAAAATCTGGCCTGAGCGAGGGACTTGCCAGATTACAGTCCCATGCCTGCTCAAAAAAAATATTTGTTTTTAGACCAAGCCAAGAGGGAATGAAGGAACGCAAGACAGGGTCTGTCTGATCTGAGAAGGTGCCAAGCAATCTTCAGTTGGAGCAGCCCTTGCCATCTCTGTGACTCTCTCCCAGTCTTGTGGGGTTTTTTGGGGGGGAAGGTGGGGTGTTAATGTCTCTAGTGCTTTATGGGACTGTGCGCCTGTGGGACTCAGTTCAACCAAGGAAAGATGATTGGTGTACAGTGGCCCTTTACACGAGTTGTTCCCAAGGATGGGCTACATTAAGACCCGCTGCAGAAGCAGGAGGGGAAGGTGAATGGCTGTCAAGGAGCTACTTGCCATTTGCCCCATGCTGCAAGTAAATAAATGGGGCCGCACAGCTTTCTTCACACCCAACTGCTCCCCTAGAGTAATTTAATGTCCTCTAGGTTGGGAAATGTTGTGAGAAGATTCTAAACTCCTGATTTCAGTCTGCCTTGGACATCACTTTATATCGGGATGGACTAAGTGAGGCTCACAGACCAAATGCACCCCTGTAGTTTTTTCAGGGCTGTCCTCATTTTTAATATAGAAGAACAGCTGGAAGATACCATCCATCCTAGCATGCAGTGCTACACAGACCCAGATGGAGCACTGCATCCTGGGACCTTTAGCCCCTATAGACTTTACCTTACATGTCTGTTGAAGATGAGGGTAGCTGAAAACTTGTATCAGAGAGCAGATAAGTGAAGTCCTAGGGTCTCTGTCACATTGCCAGAGCTGTCTGTCACATCTCCCCATGGACACTTAAAGCTCAGGCACCCCTGCTTTCTGCATTACCATCCTCTTTACAGATTCTCTCACTGGGATCCCCTCAGAAATCACAGAAAGATAGTCCTTCATTTATGCCATCAGCCCTCATGGTGAGATCTCAGAGGAGACTGATATACCCAGGACCTTGCTAATGTGGTCTATTCATGATCAGTCCAGAGGGGTCAGATGAGTGAAGCGGCAGGCAGCCTCTCTTTAAGAGCACTTAGTACCAGCTAGTCCAACAGAAGGTTTTGGATTGGCTGGGCTCCCCCTCCTTCTGTCATCTGGAGAGAAGACAGGCTCCCAGCTGATAACAAAGCTCTTCCACCCACTATAATTAGGAAGATAAAAGCACACAGAGCAGAGGTTTAATTGGAGCAGCCATCAAAAGAATGTTTATGCTGCAGGTTTCTTCTATGGTTTTTGAGCCACTTTTGTGGCTTCTGAGGAAACTCAAAATGTAGAATTTATTCTCTGTGGACAGAATTTCCTTGGGTCTTTGATGCAGTTAGAGAGGAAGGGAACTCTGGGGATGTGGCTGCTAATGCTCTCTTGTCTGGAACTCCTTAATGGACAGCTCCCTGGAGGTTACCAGTGTGAAATGGTGATGGGTCTCTGTTCCTGTGGGGACATGTGTTCACATTAAAAAAATCTAGCCACATAATAGGCCACGTGGTGCTCCTTGCACACAGACATGGCAGAGAGGCCAACAGGTGAATCGATCATAGTGATGGAACTTCCTTGGGCTCTAGAAGGAGTTGCTCCTGGTCAGGGAATTAGAGGGGAAGCCATTTTGCAGTGTTGCTGCCTATACTTGACTTGTTCTAGGGCATCAGTCCCCAAGACTGTCAGTCTGGCACTGTCACCAACCCTAAAGTAACTATGTTAAAGTCACAGAACCTCCCTTTCTTTGAGCTCTGGTGCTTTCTTTCAAATGGGTACAGCGGTAACAAATAGGTAGAAATGCTCTTCATTGGTTCAAAATGAACTAAGGCTCCTCTGTCTAGTTGTGGACAAATCTAGCCTGACCTGTCATGAGAACAGCAAGGCCCCACTCTTGTCCACGGAAGACACCCAACTATTTTTGGGCCCAATCCTGCTAAGTGTCTCCAGCACCTTTAATGGGAGGATGCTTAGTCCCTCATAAGGGGTCCAATCCTATGAGAGATGCTCCTTGTCAGCACTTTTGACTTCCTCTGTCCTTTCAGTTTCTTCCAAAGCCAGCAACTGCTCGTGAGTCACCATGGCAACCAAGCAACCCCCACCTCTAATGAAGAAGCATAGCCAGACGGACCTGGTGAGCCGACTCAAGACACGGAAGATCTTGGGAGTTGGAGGGGAAGATGATGATGGGGAAGTTCATAGGTCTAAGGTAAGAACCACCTCCATGCACACTGATACCGTAACACTATTCTGGATGTATGGGAACTTGGATGGTCCTAAACAGAGAGACAGCAGGCGTGGTGTTCTTATCTGCCCCACAGCAGGGAAAAGGGGGATTGAAAGAGCCTCTTACAATGGGTCAGACGTTGGGTGTCCCTGAGGAGAGTGAGAACTGGGGAACTTACACCGCCCTCCCCCATTGTGCCCCTCATTGACCTCTCTCAGCACAAAGAAGGGAAAACTGGTTCCAGGCAGTGCATGAGGCTTAAACATGTTGTTTTTACTTGAGCCAAACTGCTATTGATGGGGAAGGAAAAGAGGAAAGGGCAGTAGGGGAACAAGTTGGCAATCCATCTTTGAACTCCATGTTCTTTGGGGCAGGATAGATGTTTGCAATGGTCTGTAATAAAGACTTGCAGGGAGACCTATGGAGATCAGAAGTTGGGAGATGCTCTGCATCAGGATTCTCTTGTGGCATGCAGCTAAATTTAGTAACCTTTTCAGACATTTCACTGCAGAGGAGTGGTCAAAAAAACAAGAAATAGCAAAGACCAGATAGATAATGGGATGAGGCTCAGCCGACAGCTCTCCCTTCCTCTGCCTGCGATTAAAAACAAGTGGGTAGTAGGGAGGAACCCAAAGAAAAATCCTCCACATCCAAACACCCTGAGCTTTGGGGAAATTCAAATGTGAACCATGCAGCTTGGGCCTGTCTCCAGGATGGGCCAAACTAGGGTGACCAGACAGCAAGTGTGAAAAATCGGGACAGGGGATGGGGGGTAATAGGAGCCTATATAAGAAAAAGACCTCAAAATCGGGACATCTGGTCACCCTAGGCCAAACCAAAATTCTGGATTGGGATTTGGACTCTGAGGCTCAGACCAGGAGCGCCGCCAGCTTTTCTGCCACTCTAGGCAGTGGAAGGTCCCGTCCCGAAATGCTGCCCCCAGAGGCGGCAGAAGGTCCCACCGCCGAAATACCGCCGTGGTCACCGCCCCCGCCCCCCCAATTGTAGCGCCCTAGGCGACCACCTAGGTGGCCTAATGGGTTGCGCTGGCCCTGGCTCAGACTTCTCTAGCCAATGCAAGTTGAGCTGAGAAGAAGATTGGTTTGGATAGTGGGGCTTGGTCCCTGTCCTGTGGGAAGGGACCAAGCAAAAGGGATGCCTATTTCTAGAAACTTTTGTGAATGTAAAATAACAGCATATCAATGAAGCAACCTGAAATGTGATTTTTTTTTTGTGTGGGGGGGGAGGGGGAGG